TTATGGCCGGCCATTTCTTTTTCTTTTTACTTTTTCTGGAAAAAAGAATCATAATATTGTTCATTTGTCATCAAAAAATGGTTGCTGTAATTCATATTTGTAAGAAAATATTTGTTTTATTCAATTAAGTATAAAACTACACCATAAAAAAGGAATAACACAATGATGTTCCTGTAACAAAAACTTACGTACCACAATCAATATCACAAATTATACGACAACTTAAACGTCAAAAAAATGTGTCGCATGAAAATCACTAAAGAAAATTTTAAAAAAATTAACACATCATGTTGATAAATCAATGGAAGTTGACTTTAGCTTGGTAAGTCAACCCGAGGTTCCAGTTAGCCGGGGCAACATTGTAAGCTGTTATTGTCTGTTTGGTTGTGTAAGAAGTTAGCCTAAAGGATAATGCTTGACCACGAAGTGTCGCAAAAGCTTGATACGATGCTCCCCAGTTATGGCTCATGCTTATCCAACCCGTCTTAGTTCCTTTGACCCACATACTTTTAATGTCACCAGCACCACCAACGTTCATCACATAAACCAACAGCCAATAACCATTTCCCTGGAACGAAAACCTAAGACCACCTTTCCTGACACACGGGACCCTACAAGAAAAAGGCAATTTAAGTAAATGACACATCATAAGGCTGTCGAAATGGGAACTTGTCCATTATGTATAAAATTGAACAAAATTAGAAAATGTATAAACTTTTTGAAATTTTAAGTTTTTTTGGGGGCTTTTTGACAAAAAAATGGTGTCAATGAGGGAGTTTTTAGCAAAAAAGGGTGCTAAGAGGGGTTGTTTTAGCAAAGAAGAGATTTTTTGGGATGGTTCTTAGTAAAATATGGGATGGGGCCCCTTGTTGGTGAAAGAAGTAGACATACCTCCGATACATGACAGGGACAATTCCGGCTTTCCACTGGGCGATTTGCATGAAAGCGGGCTTAGCCATGTCGAAATGGGTTCGAGGTGGATTGCACCATCCGCCGCTATTTGAATTTTTAGACCAGTTGGGTGGACAAAGTTTGGTGGCTGTTACAGTCGCGATGCCTTTTGAGCACCATGGAGATTGGGCACACTTTATTTGGTAGCATTGACCACACGCGTATCCATTGCTGAATATTGTTGAGCTCACTGCTGCTGTATTTGTACCATACCCGTTTGTGACCAAGTTCCCATATCCACAAGCACCCCCTGATATCAATTGAAAATCGTTAAGAGATTTCAACACAAAAGGAGTTAAATTAAATGCATATTTATGCAACAAAATGGTTCTTTTAGAAGAAATATGCAAGCAAGTTTCGTTTGGTACCCAAATATGTGACATTACAATCGAAAACCAATTATTTTATGACATGCACACTTATTAAATCCTTATTTATAAAACAAATTACACATTTTTACTCATTTATGCAACACTAGGTCACTTTTTATTTGGGGAAGGGGGTGTTTGAGACTGTTTAGTTAAAACAACTTATGTTTTTGCCGTAAAAATATTGATGGTCTTGTGTGGTACCAAATGCCAACATGCAATTTTAGGGGAAAATGTTTTTCATATCTTATACAATACCAAAAAGAAAAATTCATAAACATGTTATCTAAAAAACCATTTTGTGCAATCCAAGCACTGTTAAATGTATTATACCGTAATAAGCTAATAAGTTAAATTAAAACAAATTATTCAAAAGTGTTTATTACTAAAACTAAGTCGTAGTAATCAGCGTAAGTTATTTTGTGTAATTCAAACAATCAAATTAATTTAATGGTATCAAACCTCAGTAACCTAATAAGCACTTTAAATAAGCAACACCAAACCTATTATGCAACCAGGTTTAATTAGTTTACAGGTTAAACATTGCATCTTGTTGAAACTAAAATGTAACTTGGTATATTTTCTATAAAAAGCCACTTATTTGAAGAAATAGTGTACAAAGAGAAGTAGTACCCATGGTTGAAGATGCGGATTCGTCCCCATAAAATGTGGCATGTGCAAGAGTCCATGCACTTGGGCGATACACAGTTGGTGCGCGAGGGACAGTGTAACCCGCTCCATAAACCAAAACCGAATCAAACACGACGAATGTGGTGACTGTAAGGAAGATGCAAAATACCCATGAAGCCATTTGTTTTTGCTCTAATGTTGACCTCAAAAATGTTATAGAGACATTTATAGGACCTGAAATACTGCCAAAAATAAGAGTGGGTTTGTGACCCTCACGAAGAGTTGTGTTTTTGCAAGTCAAATGTGCATATTAAAGTATTTGTGTTTGAATGGTGTTGGGTTTCTCTATGCAATTAACATGTGTACTTGTAGGCATTAGGCAATAAAGGTTTGTACTAATTGAAATTTGGTTGCAACGTGCGAGCAGGTTTTATATGGCGGGTGACAAAAAAATATATATAAAGATTATGCAAAAGGGCTTACGTTGCACATTGAAGTTGTATAATAATATCATATTTGACTTCATAAATTTTTATCACTTACTGATCAGCAAAAAAATATAGATTCGTACAAAGTACAATTTAAATTGTCTTTCACTTTTATTAAGTTATATTAGACAAAGTCTTATTTCCTTTCTAATGACCATAAAGACAACACAATAAATGTCAACGAAAATGAACACATAATATATACCCAATTAATGATTTTTCTTTTAGTTCTACTCAGGTTTTGATACGAATAATGTTGAATTTTTGATAATTTACTCAACCATGTTTCATTTTAACACAAAAAATACACAAACCTTCACTCGAAACCAATAAAGATCTTTGATTGCATTCAAACACAAAATACATCCATTGGATCCGATATCAAGTCTAGTTCATTCTTACTAATCTTCAAAATAAAAACAAGATTATGAGAAAATCAACATTAACCACTAAGATTAAGCTCACACAACATCTGCTTATTCGAAAAGAATGCTTTCAAGTTTTCTCTAATCAATTCTCTCAATGCTTCAAACGACTCTGGTGTTAGAATTGCTTCATGTGGAGACAAAACAAAGTTGTCCATCGTCATCAACTCTTTTGGCATTTGAGGTTCATTCTCAAACACATCCAGACCGGCTCCTCCAAGTTCGCTTCCAACCAAACACTTGACAAGTTCCTTTTCGTCCACGAGGGCCCCACGTCCAATATTGACGATAATGCCCCTCTTCCCAAGGGCTTTCATGACATCGTGGTTGATGACGTGGCGTGTTTTTTCAGTCAAAGCGCAACAGACAATTAGGGCATCCGAGTTGGTTGCAAGATCAAGAGTTGTGGAGTAGAACTGATAGGGAACTTGTGGCTTCTTGATTCTTGAGGTGTAGCCGATGGTGCACCCAAATGGCTCAAGCCGTTTAGCCACCAAGCTGCCGATATTTCCAAGCCCAACAATCCCGACTCGTTTTCCCCCTAACTGAGCAATGAAAATAAGTTGTCAATCAAGTTCGTTTAAAATTTAAAACATTTCATCCATTTTGTTTAAAAATTAAAAAAGGGACTTCTTTCATTTCTACAGTTTGTACTAAACTTAGTAAATATAAGAGACCCTAAATATAATTTCTGATAATTTAGATTTAAGATAGGCATATACAACATCCGGATTCCGGACAATCGGAATCAAACGAGTAGATCAAAAACTGGATCATGGGAGATACCTTGTTTCCAAGGGGATAATCGCCTTTATCGGGCCACAACCCGGCACGAACATACCTATCGGAAGCAGAAATACGTCGGAGGACGTCGATCAATAGCCCTATAGCATAATCGGCTCCGTCTTCAGAGAAGGCATCACCGGCGCTAGTGACGCGAATATTACGGCGGCGACACTCAGCTAAATCAATATGGTCAACGCCGGCGGATGTTCCAATAATGCATTCTACAGAAGGGTATTGGTCCAAGTGCTCCGATTTGATCGGGCTAGGACCGATGTCGATCGCGACCCGAGCAGATGGCCCGTGGATCGGGTATAATGGATCTGAAGGTTCGATTAGGTTGACGATATCTTGAGCCCATGAGAGAGAGAATTTGAAATTGGGGAGACGATGAATTATTGCAAAAGGGAGGTTGCTACCGGCGTCGGTGGTGGATTGGAGGTGTTGGGAGTCGGCCATTGATGGATAACTAGTAACTACTGTATGAATGTAGCGTGGAAAGTAACTGACGTTTGGAAAGAAACCTTATCTTTGTGCTTTGATTTTATTTTATTTTTTATAATTTTGTTTTTAAGTTTTACCCATTAAGTCCAACCATATATATTAAACCGACTATGACTTAATCGACAATAATCATAAAGTGTTGTCCTCTCTTGATGTTCAAAATACACAACAAAAACAAAGACTTAATCGATATTAATCATGAAGATTAAGTTCAGACAACAATGGCTTATTTGAAAAAAAGGCTTTCATGTTTCCAATAACTAACTGTATCAATCCTTCAATCGCCTCGATTGTTGCAATAGCTTTATGTGGAGACAAAACAACGTTGTCCATTGTAAACAATTCCCTTGGTACCTCCGGTTCATCCTCAAACACATCTAGACCGGCTCCTCCAAGTTCACCTCCAACCAACAACTTTACTAATTCCTTTTCATCCACAAGGGCCCCACGTCCGATATTGACGATAATACCCTTCTTCCCGAGGGCTTTCATGACATCATGGTTGATGACATGGCGTGTTTTTTCAGTCAATGCACAACACACGATTAAGGCATCCGAGTTGGTTGCAAGATCAAGAGCTGTGGAGTAGAACTGATAGGGAAGTTGTGGCTTTTTGTTTCTTGAGGTGTAGCCGATGGTGCAACCGAATGGCTCAAGCCGTTTAGCCACCAAGCTGCCAATACTTCCAAGCCCCACAATCCCGACTCTTTTTCCCCCTACCTATATCATTAAAGGTTATAGTAAACAAGTTTCAAATTTATAAAAAAAATTAAGACAACATCATCACAAAATAGTAGCCAAGTTTGAAGTTTCACTACAAACAAACTCTATAGTAGCAATGACATCACCACGATACAAATGTCCTTTTTATGTTTTGAAGTATGCACATTAGATATTTGTTATACGAGTAACCATAAATTTTGGTTACAATGTAGTCATGCTGACGTTATTGACTTATTGTAATTATGTCTCTTGCATGTTTGTTAGGATATTGAAGAACTTAACCAATTTAGCAGTTTTCATCATAAGAAATGATGCAAGGGTTTGATACAAATCCAGCCCCAATAATTTATGATTTGTAGTATTTGCTAAAAGGATGTTAGTTGTTAGCAATGGCCATATGATTAAATCCATGTATATGACAGAATGGAGAATACAATCTATCACCATATACTACATCCCAGATCATCGGAACAAAGCGAGTAGATTAATTACTCGATTTTTTTTTTTAAATTAGCTCTATAGATTTGATAATGGTGATTTGGATGGATCATAGGATATACCTTGTTTCCAAGAGGATAAATGCCTTCGACGGGCCACAACCCGGCCCGGACAAACCTATCGGAAGCAGAAACAAGTCGGAGGACGTCGATCAAAAGCCCTATAGCATAATCGGCTCCGTCTTCAGAGAAGGCATCACCGGCGCTAGTGACTCGAATATTACGGCGACGACATTCGGCTAAATCGATATGGTCAACGCCGGCGGATGTTCCAAAAATACATTCTACGGATGGGTATTGGTCCAAGTGCTCGGATTTGAGCGGGCTAGGACCCAGGACGATCACGGCCCGAGCAGATAGCCGGTGGATCGGGTATAACGGATCCGAAGGTTCGATTGGGTTGACTATGCCTTTAGCCCAGGAGAAGGAGAAATTGAAAGTGGGGAGGCGATGGATGATTGCAACAGGAAGGTTATTACCGGTTTCGACGGTGGATTGGGGCTGCTGGGAGTCGGTGGTGGATTGGAGCTGCTGAGATTCCGCCCATTGACGGAAGATACAGTATAAGTGTAGTATGGAAGTTAACGGACGTTTGAGGACCTTAAAAGCGACTTATTAAAGTACCATGAGCAATGAGCAAGAATCAAAATGTCAACAAAAGTCCAAGACCACACCCAAGTCTAACAAAAAAATATATCGACTACTAAAAAGAATCAAAATGTCAAACAAAACCACACCCAAGTTTAACAAAAAAATTATATCGACCATTTAGTAGTTTTACAATAATATCTAGTGTTAAAGTTTATTTCAAAATATCTTATAAAATCATTCAATTTTTTATAATGTTTTATATCTTGGTTTAAAATGATGAATTGTTTTATAAGTTTATTTGGATGACCAACATTAAGGGTATGTTTGGCAAAACAAAAAAAAAAAAAAACTTATGACTTATTAGCTAATAAGTTAAAAGAGTTAACTTATGAAAAAAATGATTTATTAACAGTTTGTCACCGCTATAAGCTGTTTTTATCAAAACATTATTTTTAGCTTATAGCTGTGGATATCCGAAAACTAGTAATATTTAAGGTGTGTCATTGTTTGAATATAAACCGTTTTTTATGAAATTCGTACACCAATCATTATGTTATATCTAAGGAATACTATGACCATTTTAATCTATTAGTGTTAAAAGGATAAACATAAAAATATTGTCACTTTTAAGTGGTTTCAGTGACAAAACTTTAACAGTGAAAATATAAAATACAATGACTTCTTTGTATATTGCTTTTTCTTTATATATATATAAGTTTACATTTTAATTATACATAAATAAACTATTACATACATTAATATATTTTTTTTATTAAAACAACTTGTTTTATATAATTTACTATTATACTATATATTAAATATAAAGTTCTTAATAACAATATTGTTTTTCATTTTTGGAGTTTTGCTACAAAGGTTCAGATTTTGACAAATTTAGTCCTTGTAGTTTTTTAATTTATGGAAAAGCTCCTTATAAAGATTTTTTTTTATTTTTATGTCTAAGATTTTTATATGTTGGCAGGTTTGACCCAAGTATAAAAAAAATTACAAAAATTATCCCCGTAATTTACAGAAAATGTCATTGTGTATTTTTCAATACATAAATGGTTCATATGTTTAAAAAAGTACAAAAATTATCCTCGTAGTTTACAACAAATGTCATTGTGTATTTTTTTTACAGAAGCGATCCATATATTTAAAATTTTTACATAATTAATCCCTACCTACTAGAAAATTTACAGGTTTGGTCCATATAGTTTCCTATGTCGGCAAGTTTGGTTCCCCTTAAAAAGTGCACATAAAACGATAAGACAATTAATAGTAGTGCTTTCCTTTTGTGTGACTAGAACATAGTAAGCAAAACCTTGACTGCATCCCCCGCAAAGCACTGAGTCGACTCGCCCCTCGATTGGGAGGCATCTACCTCATCCTGATCACAAAGATCTCCCAACATAAAGGCTTTATTCTAAGGTGGCTCTTTCAACCACCTAGCAAGACAAAAGTTTGACTTGAGCCTACTTTGTTAAGAGAATAGAGAGAAGGAAAAGGCATACGACAAAAAGTAATCCTTCCAACCGTGAAGTTGAACACAACACTGACTTCGGTTGGAAGTCTAGCTAACTATCTGTCTCCATCTCTGGCAATAGATCTATCCCACTTTGTGCAAGCAGTCGAGTTTCACATATTTTTCTCATCCCTAATGATTAAATGGATAGTTTAGCAACTTGATGCGGTAAGTTACAAGGATGAATGCAAATAGCAATACATTGTGTTGTGTGAAGTGAGAGGCCTATCTAGAGATATACTGAAAACCATGAACTTTGAACCAAAACGCAACGAACGTCTTCCGAATCAAAAGAAAAAAGGGAAAAAAAGAAGGAGTGCAGCATGTAGAGCACATGTAACGCACAGTCGAGTTTCTCATACAACACATCTCTCTCTTTTTAGATATCTAACCAATCTTTGAATCAGGCTATCGTCTTCCTAAAAGAAAAGTCTCATTGGAGAAGCTTTGATCGAACGATCCTAAGAGCAAGGTGCTTAGTTTCTCTCCCTAAGCTAAATGAACACCAACCCAATCTAGCATTCACAACATAATATATATATATATATATATATATATATATATATATATATATATATATATATATATTAATGTAGAGTAAACAATAAATTTCTCATTTTTTGTTAAATATGAAAGGATAATTCATATGTCAAGTTTATAAACATTGTCACTATTTAAAGGAGACATTTTTCCTATCATCTCATATATATATATATATATATATATAATATATATATATATATAAAGGAGGCATTTTTCCTATTCACCTCATGCATTTGAAACCCCCATACAAATTTCCAAGCACCTCATGCATTTGAAACCTCTACAAATTTTCACATTCAAAGTAATTAATCACACATCATGAAATGTTTTATAACTTATATAATATGTTTAATAAGCAATTAATTGATAGTCTACTATAAAAATGTCATTCTCTTTAAGTAGACACACAAATACAAATCACATACAAAATTCACAAAGAAAACAAGTTTAAAGGTTTTGTATTGGTTTGAGGGCTTTGGACCATTTTTCGAGCCATGTTATTATGTTAAATTTTTTAATTTGTAAGTTTATTATATACTAATCTTTTTTTTTTATATTTTTCTTGGTTTAAGTATTTTTTAAGACAATCATTTTATGTTGTGGTTAAAACTTTAATATAAATTAAATTATATTCATGTTATCGATCATATGTTATGGAATGAGATTTAGATAATATTTAATTAAATATTGTATATGTGTTGTATGTTTGTGTTGCTTCAAAGTAATAATTAATAGAAAATCATAGATATGCAATATTATCCATATTATCCATGTAAGTCTCCTTTAAAATGCAAATTGTCTATCTTATCAGCTTTTATTTTAGTATATGTTTAACATTTTAATTATAATAATAAGTGTCTTTTAAAAGTTTTCTTTCGTTTATTAATAATAATAAGTGGTTTTAAAAGTAATGAACCATAATTATAAATAATAAAATCAAATTATAAAAATCATGGATATGTCATATTATCTATGCAAGTTTCTTTGGAAATGCAAATTGTCTATCTTTTCAGTTTATTATTCAATGTATGTTTCACATTTTAATAATAATATTAAGTGTTTCTTAAAAGTCTTCTTTAACTTATTAATAATAATAAGTGGTTTAAAACTAAAGAACAATAATTTTAAATGATAATAACATCAATTTAAAATTACATAACGTTAACAACAAATAAATTGTATTTTATATGATCATCATTATTGAAATTATAAAATAATCGCATAAGTAAAAATGTAACGCCCCGATTCTCAGGTATTGTTTAAATAAGATTTATTGGGTGAAGCTATACTCGACGAGTTGGTTGACCTACTCGTCGAGTAGCAGCGGGGTGGGATCGCGTGTTAAGTGACCTACTCAACGAGTCCATATTGGGACTCGGCGAGTAGGAGCTGGCAGATGAAACCCTAAATCCCGGGGGTTTGCACCCTATTTAAGGAAGCATAAGCCTCCTTCGGCCTCTTTGCAGTCCTTTGAGAGCTCAGAGAACCCTAATTCGTGTGGTGTTTCATTCTTGTGTGTGTAAAGCTTTGGAGAGGAGATCTTGTGAGGAAAGGAGCTTGGGGAAAACAAAAGGGCTAGGAGCAAGGAAGTGTGGGAGATCAGAAATCTACCTCAAATAGCATCATTTGGAGGTATCAAGTCGTCATCTTTTCTCCTTTTTTCTTTCTAGACCTATTTTGGTTGAGATCTAGGTTTTTATGGTTTGGTTGAGATGGGAATGTGGGATATGAGCTAGATCTGAAGTTGTAACTTCAGATCTGTAACCTTCTTGGGTTTCTAGAGTCATAAAGCTCTGATTTTGGTCGAGAATGAGGCCATCCTTGTGCATAAAGCCCCATTAAGAACTTAGTTTTGGCATTAAGAGCCTTATTAGTCATGCATGCACGTAAAGTTTGCAACTTTACGTGAAAAGCATGCCCTAGAAGCTTGGATATGTGATTTGGAGCTGCTGCATGGCTCAAAACAAGTCTGTATGGAAAAAGGACTGAATGGACTCGGCGAGTCGCAAGGTTGACTCGGCGAGTCACATGAAGATGGCCGTGAACTCGACGAGTTGGATGAACAACTCGGCGAGTCCGATGAAGATCACCATAAGACTCGACGAGTTGAAGAACAACTCGGCGAGTCGGATGAGTTTTCCCTAGGATATGTATGGTGTGTGCCCGTCGAGTGGCAAGGAGGAAACTCGACGGTGGCCTTAGAGTTTGAACGGCAATCGAAGGAACTCGACGAGTCACCCCGATGACTCGGCGAGTGGAATGTGCTTCGAGGAACTCGGCGAGTAGCCAAGGGTACTCGGCGAGTTGGGGGTCAACATGGACTGTTGACCTTGACTGAGGACTTTGACCTTGACCAGGGGTTGACTGGTGGGTTATGGAGTACCTTATAGATTTAAGGACTTATGAGTATATTGTACTATGGTCATAGGTGGTGGAGCCTATGTCAAGTGATCCGAGAATTGGAGTTTACCTTTCGAGTCGACATCTGCGAGGTGAGTTATCCTCACTATATCGATAGGGTCTACGGCACCAAGGCCGGCCCTTTTAGTTGTTATTGTTATGGTATACTACATATGGTTTGGTATGCTAGATCGGAATCAGGGTAGACAGTATGTTATGTTTTATGATCCGTAAGGATTGGTATGTTAGTGACCTGCTAGGTCGGTACTCTACTTACGAGAGGATTCTATGGTTGATGATCAGTATGACAGATATGTTTGATGTTTGTATATGCCAGTATATGATAGTTATGCGAACTTGGTTATTTGCTTATTGGTTGGGTTGAGGCGGTCCTGCTTTGTGCTGAAGGCCAACATACCCTATGAGCGGTCCGGGGAGACTGCAGGCCCACGAGGCGGACCAGTCATGCCGAAGGCTCGGGATAGATTCTGATAGACTGTAGGCCCGGTAGGGCGGTCCAGTCAGGCCGAATGCCCAGTATGCATGAATAGATTCAGATAGCTGTAGGCCCGGTAGGGCGGACCAGTCAGGCCGATGGCCCAGTATGCATGATTGATTGTTACTGATATGGTATTGTCAGTGTGGTATTGGTATTTTGGGGGTAGCTCACTAAGCCCTCGGGCTTACAGTTTTCAGTTTATTGTTTCAGGTACTTCGAGAGATCGTGGCAAGTCGAAGGCGTGACCGTACCGCTCCTCATCCTTATGTTATGATTTTGGGACACTCTGATGGATATTGATTTGAAAACATTTTGTAAACAATACTATTTGACTTTTATTTGTGATTAAAAAAAAGTTTGAATTTGGCGTGAAATTTTTGGACGTTACAAAAATTTAAATTAATCAATCATAACAATTGTTAAAAAATAATATTAAATAGATAATTATATTTAATTTTATTACCGAGGAATGTGGTTTGATGTCAATGAATAATATTGTTCAAAATATTATGTCAAAGTTAATGTCAATACCATAACCATTTTAAACATATATTTTTCAACATTTTAACAATATATCTTTAACCTACGTTGCGCAATACGCGAGAATTCGTCTAGTGTATATATATATATATATATATATATATTATATATATATATATATATATATATATAAATGATAACTTGTTTTATATCCGTTTGTTTGCGATCATTTACATTCATTTATGTTCATTGCACAAATTTGTGTGTTTATGTTCGTTTATATTAATTTACATTCCCTCATTTATGTTTGTTTAGGTTAATTTATGATGACCAATTATATGTATAAGCCAACATAATAAAATGCTAAAAGCCTGAAATTTAAAATTATTACCAGAGCTGTAAGTTTGAAATACATTCACCCTTACGAACTTTTTTTATTATTGGTTCATTTGTATGTGTTAATGTTCATTTTATGTTCATTTGTGTATATTCATTTATGCTCATTAGTACGCACACAAACATATATGGGTAGGTGTGGAAGGTAGTATGGGCCCGTACTACTGAAAGCACAGGACCCATACGCGTAGCAAGGAAGTCACAACCCCTAGGATTTGTGAGTTTTGGTCTCTCGATATTATGTTGTGTATCTGATGTCTTGAACATATCTTTCAGTATGGTGGTGACGAGACGTTTTGCTGCTGGGTCCGGATCAGGATCGGGATTCGGATCAGGGTAGGGACAAGGGGACGGACGGCCAGAGGTGCCGGTAGCACCTGAGCCCGTGGTTCAGATGGGGACTGAGGAGCTGGATGCCAGGATCCGGGAGATTGTGCACGATGAGGTCTCTGTGGCTTTCCGAGCGCAGCTACCAGAGATGTTTGGATCGATCAAGACCGCGATGGTCGAGTATTTTGATGAGCGATATGCAGCTCTGGCAGAGACAGCAGCCGCTGCAGCCACTTCGGCT